GATGCCGTTCTTCTTCGATCAGGTGAATATGTTGTTAAATCAAAAATTCTCTGAATTAAATGGTAACTTTCGATTAATTAAATTATGAACTCTCTTCTTTCACAAGTTTGTAAATGTAATGAATGCTGAGGCTTCTGGTCGTGGCATTTCTTTGGATTTCCACAAGCTGACACATGCTGCTTTGAAGAATGGCCTGGAGCAGTTGATCTACAACGCCACCTATCGGGATACAGCGAAGCGGCTCTCACTCATTTTTCGCGATCGTCCAATGGGCCCGCGTGAGACGTTCCTCTATTGGATCGACTATGTGATACGTCACAATGGTGCACGTCATTTGCGCGCCGCTGGCATGGATTTGAAGTGGTACCAATTCTACTTACTGGACGTAGCTGCTCTGGTTTTAGCTGTTGTTGTATTGGCAGTCGGAACTTCTGTTTTGTCACTGCGCTGGATCTTTAGAAAGCTGATAGCTGGAAAGAGCAAGCAAAAAGTGCAGTAATAAATGCTTGTGCATGTTGATACCAAAGACTAAATGTAGGTGATTTGAATAGTTGGAATTTCGAAATCTACGCCAATCTTTTGCGGCTAACTGGCTTTATCCGCTCTCACCGACTTAAATTTGTAAAACCCGCGAGTACAGCTGAACTGTGCGGCGCAGCCTCAAACATCTATGAAGGCCTTGCTGGTTTATAAATGTACGAGTACCTTATTTAAAAGTGTCTACCTTTCACTTTGTTTAATTTTATTAAATAAATATATTCCTCTTAACCTCGAAATAAACTTTTTTCAAGTATATTGATACGAATTTGTGGCTTTTTTATTTGGCACGACAGCCGTTTCTCGGTTTGGGCCGAGACCAAAACAAGCAAATACATGCTTAAAAGTGTTTTATTACTGGATCTGTACCCATACTTTCAGAAAATATTAGGAAACTGCGGTCTGGTTTGAATTGTCATATAATTCTTGCACAGTGTTTTTTAATTTTTATCCACTTTCCACTGAGATTTTTACACGAATATTTCAGGCGCTGTAATTCGTCCGTGCTCTTTATAATCTTTGAAAGAGTACTTTCACGCTATTATAATAAAGAAAGGAGGTCCTTTCTTTAAAGCCAGACATTTTTTTTCGGAGGAGTTTTACAGAGAGTATTTTTCTTTTCAGGAACTCTAGAACTATTGAAAAGCAACTGAGAACAGTTTTTTATTTGCCTTTTTGCCACATGTCTTATGCGCGAATTTGTCATACACAATTTTTGAAACAATTATTATTTTTTGTCAAAATATACAGAAGTTTTTCTTTTCAAGAAAGCTACTCAGAACACCGGAACTCTCTGAGACGACCTGGGGTCAGTGAAGCACCGTAGAAATACAATCCGTTACCCCCGGCTGCAAACGTCGTCCAATCGGCACGGTCCGCTTAACACCCTCGATTGAGGGAAACCTCCGTACCACGATCCATGGATATTGCGATGGGCTGTGCTATTGGAAAGCAGGGAGCCTTCCCCCTGATCTTAGCTGGATACTGTTCTGACAACGTCAACGCACAGAACATAGATGCTGGAGTAATCATTTCCAGTCGGCACCCTTGGGTAGTGGACAATTTTTTCGCAGGCTACATATATGCATGTATGTATGTCTTTAAGTATGTATGAACTGAAATCTAATCAGCTGTAAGTTCAATATACAAAAGCACCTTTGATCATCAAGAATGGCAATAAAATGGTAATCTTAAAGTTTACCAAAAAGGCCAGCGGATTTTGCCCTCACCAAAATGTGCTCTAGACATAGTGATATAGTCAAAGTAATCGGTTCAAACCAATCGAATATCTATGCAATTTCGAAAAAGACACATGTCTGAAAATTTCAAGTATTTACGAAAAGAAAAAACTAGTTATTTCTCATTGAGATGTGACTTTATTTTTCGGTGCTCGCCATGACCTCAACAGTGGAAGTGACACAAGGATGCGCCCCTTCTGCATAGTGATAGAACTTTTTTGAAATGTATCGAAACTAGTACTCATTTAGAATACGCCGAAGAAGAATCGAAGGCGAATTTTTCAATGTAATTTTCAAAGTTTTCTTTCTTTAAGTCGATACTTCTTGGTATTCGCGACACGTACTCAATACTCAATAAAAAGTATCGTTACTCTGTACTCGGTACTCATATCTTTCTATCACTAAATCAGCAGGCCTACAGAGTGGTGTAGATAGGGCAAGGGGGGATGGGGATTAGGGGGATAGATATCCCCCGTAGAAACCGATGGTATATAGTATTGGATAAGTCTGACAGACAAGTACTTCCTTTATTTTGAAGGCTGTAACATTTTTACGTGTAAGTTCGAAATATGTGTATAAGTCAAATATTATCGACGAGTAATAGAAACTGATTGCTGCACCTTAAGAAGTACTAACTGAGCTGAGAATGTAGAAAAGACATCTGACTAACAAAATGAATAGTAGTTAAGCCTTAAAATGCATTAGATGTAATAGTTTTAATATGCCTTTGATTGTGTGATTTTATTTAGTCCTGCTTGAATAGTTCACATTACCCCCTCGCCCGTACTCACGGCTATCTACGCCACTGGCCTACAACAGTAAAGTTAAAAATGTATCACAAAATTGCTTCTTTAAAGAAATAGTGTTTATCGTGGTCTAGTTTTAGTTTCAGAGTGCGCTGAGTAGAGGCAGGCAAATCCCAAAAATAATGAAATTCCTTTTTTTGAATTAGTGAAGAAAAATATTCACTTTGGTGGTGCTGAATAAAAATGGTGATTATAATTTTACGTGTTTGTGATTTTACTATAAATTATCCTTGAAAAAAAAATGTTTGTAATTTTAAATAAATTGAATTAAATGGAATTAAAATTTTGTCAAGTCTGAAGAGAATAACTTTCATTGAATACTTTTGCACTAAGCCGCCTTTCCTCGATCCAAATTTGTTTAATATTTTTTTTTATATTACATTTTTTTGCTGATGGTGTTGTGCATTTTCTTCCATGCAAAGTATGCTCAAAGTTTTTGTTTTATATGGAAGAAAATGCCTAGTAGCGTCAGCAAAAAAATCTTTATTAAAAATCAACACGATGGTGTAAAGTGTCTGTAAAATTGCACTTAATCCTACTGCATTTTAATGGGCTGTAAAACTGCATAGATATCTAAAATTTTTCTAAACTTTTTGAATAAAACCTTGAAATTTTAAAATTAAATTTGTTGGATTTTTATAATTTGTGTGCAAAGTTTTAAATGTGAATTTATATGGTGCTTTTTATATAATGTGCTAGACTTTTATAAAAAAAATATTAAACATCGAATAAACAAAAGAAAAATTGCCAAAACCATTCGCAACACCCCCACCAAATTCCAGACCCTTCTTACCTCTAATTAAGAATTAAGTTGGGACGTGATCAGTGAAAGAAAATAAATCCATATTTAATTGAAACAGTTAGGTCTCAATTTTAGCTCCCGCTTGCTACTAGAGATTATTGCAGTGCTTTTCAAATGAAAGTGATGGATATTTTAAAGGCTGCATCATTGAAATAGTTTTAAACCGATCTATATTTTTAAGCTGATGCCAGATAAAATTTGTGACTTTGTGTGACATTTATAACTTCCATTGCCAGCAAAGCGTCAGAAGCAAAAGTTATGCCACAATGGGCGCCAAGAAAACAACTTTGTACTGCATTTTTACTTGCCAAAATTGCTATGCATTTTATATATTTCGCTTTAAAAATATCAGCAATGTGATTAAATTTTATGTTTCTGCATGGGAACTCGAATTTGGACGAAACAAAATGAATATTAAACCAGCCATCTGTTGGCCATCTTTTCGCTTCGCGCTGCAGCTACAACGATCTATGTGGCATGATTTGTGCATTTACATACAATTCACCTTATCTGTCAAAGCGAATCTGATACGCAAAGCGAAGCAAGCGCTTTATCTGGCATCAGCTTTACAGACAGCTAGGCGGCAATTAAATACCAGGGAAATTCAATCTCTTAGCGAAATAGCTGAGACTTTCCATACGCATATTTTGTCTTAGTTTCTGGCCATGGCGTCATCAAGGAAACTTGCCAGTCTGAACGACTTGCTCATTATGAAACGACATTGTCTGGTACAGACATCAGGTATACAAGTGGCCATATACATACTTATAGCGTTTTCTTTTCTCGAAAAAAGGCTGCACTTATTCTACCTTGTGTTAGCGCTGTCACATTTTCATGTTCTTTTCTCAGCCCTTTCACCAGGTGTCGTGTTCTTTTCTCAGCAGGTTGCGCTCTGATCCGGCGAAAGTGCTGCCTTTTCAGCCCTCAAATAAACGTGAGGGTGAGAGTTGCATGGTTGATTTTTAATTTAATCTTGTGAAAATGCAATTATTTTCCCTATCAGAAATAAGTGTTTTTCTTTAAAATTAAAGACTTACAGGCCAAGTGAACAATTCAGCTTTATTAAGTTCTATAAATAAATTGTGATGGAGTAGTATATTTTCTGTTTCATTCTCATATAAAGAACGCAACATTTTCTCAGGTTTCAGGGTAACGCAAAGCAAGAGTTCCCATATAAATGGGCAGAACCTTTTTTGAGAAAAGAAAACGCTATTAGTAATAATTTGACCAGCGCTGTCTCTACTCTAAGGAGTTCAACAGCACATTGTCTGATAGGATTACACGGGCAACGTACACTGGAACAAATACTTCCAAAGTTGTATGGACGCAGTTGAGGAGGGAACCGTTCAAGTTATTTTCCAATTAAAAATATATAGCTAACGCTTGGCAATGTGAGTGCCGATTGCATTGAATCGTATCATAGAGGAATAGCACTGCTATAAATATACAACTGAAGAATGTGCCCTTCCATAGTTGAGCGTACCAGACTCTGCTCGATGAAATTTTACTTATTCACTACAATTCGCCGAGTTCTTGTTATTTTGATGGATAGTGCTTGTAAAACTACGAGTACATTTTATTTTATTGGCATTGTCGATAACAAAGCAGATAACGTTAGCGTTCAAAAGAACGTCTTTTTGCTTATGGTTTCGTTAGAGTAACATAAACTTGGATAAATTATTATGACACACGCACGTTTATGACCGTTACTATTTAAAAATTCTTTCCAGTGTTGCCACTTAACCACAGTTGTGGTATATCTAACATATTTTGTGTCATTTTTCACTTCGACGACAACTACCACATATTTTAAGAATCTACCACAATTATACTGAAATAAAATTATTATTTTAATGCGTTATTACAAGACACGAACGATAAGCCGCACGAGTGATTCGTCTGTAGCAATGTTGCCAGAAAAAAATGGTACATCTTTCTTCTTAACAAGATTTTACGTTACCATCTACCACCGTTTTTATTAATAATCTTTCCCTACATCTGCTTAACCTATGAATGTATTTAGTGTTCCAGAATTCTCGTCGGCCTACTGGCACTCGCTGTGCTGGCGGCTCAAGCGCCTGCAACAGATGGCGCCAAAATACTTGCAGTCTACGCAGCTGCAGCCGTAAGTCACTTCCAGATGCATCGAGCTATGATTAGCGAGTTGGTGCAACATGGTCATCAGGTATCAGCAGTAGCCTTATCATCTTTTATTATATGTACTTAAATGTTCTTCTGGTTAATTCACCTGTAGGTCACCATGATAACCGCAATTACGCTGGAGCCACTCAAATTGGGCAGCAACTACAGTGAAATACTCATTGAACCAGAGTTTGATGGCTGGGAGATCGGTAAAATTTGATGGCCTATTTAAACTTTAATT